ATACATTGCAACTGGGAAAACCATAGCCTTGACTATACGCACTTTTGTCGGCAGGGTGATGTCTCTGCCTTTTAGTATGCTGTCTAGATTTGCCATAGCTTTCCTCCCAAGGAGTGACTTTTAATTTCTCGGCTGCAGTCCCCGTCTGCGGTGATCTTGGAGTCCAGGAAAATAAAATCTGTCACTACCTCCATTTCTTCCCCATCTATCTGCCTGGAAGTGATAGGACAGGATGCCATTTGTTTTTTTGATGTTGAATTTCAAGCCAACTTTTGCGCTCTCCTTCTTCACGCGCATCAAGAAGCTCTTTAGTTCCTCTTTACTTTCTGCCATTAGAGTGGTATCAACTGCATATCTGAGGTTGTTGATACTTCTCCCAGCAATCTTAATTCCAACTGGTGATTCATCTAGCCCTGCCTTTCTTATGATGTGCTCTGCATATAAGTTAAATAGGCAGGGTGACAGTATACAGCCTTGCCAAACTCCTTGCTCAATTTTGAACCAATCAGTGGTTCTGTGTCCAGTTCTTCTTGACCCACGTATAGGCTTCTCAAGAGACAAATAAAATGGTCTGGTACTCCATCTCTTTAAGAACTTGCCACAGTTTGTTGTGATCCACACAATCAAAGGCTTTAGCATAGTCAATGAAGCAGAAGTAGATGGAACTCCCTAGCTTTCTCCATGATCCAGTGTATGTTGGCAATCTGATCCCTAATTTCTCCACCTCTTCGAAATCCTGCCTGTACTTCTGCTAGTTCTCAGTCCACATACTGCTGGAGCCTAGCTTGTGGGATTTTGAGCATAACTTTGCTAGCATGTGAAATGAGTGCAATGGTGCGGTAGTTTGAACATTCTTTGGCATTGCCCTTCTTTGGGATCGGAATGTAAACTGACCTTTTCCTATCCTGTGGCCACTGTTGAGTTTTCCAAGTTTGCTGGCATATTGAGTGTAGCACTTTTACTGCATCATCTTTTAAGATTTTGAATAGCTCAGCTGGATACTGTCACCTCCACTA